AAATTTGTTTTCTGAACAGCATCGGTTTGAAAACGTTTCAACACACCCAAATAATGTGTACCAGATGACCCATATTTATAACTCTATGTTATATTAACGTATGCTTATCATATGCGCTAGCTAAATTAGCAGATCACTGAGGAGAGGTTGCGGGTTCGATCCTCACTGGATGCCCCTCACTTCTAAGTACGTATCAAACCAAGTTAAACTGTGCATCCCTTGTCACGAAATAGTACTTAACAATCAAGTTTCACAGCATTAACTCTACAGTGAGAACAATTTCCACTAGGCGCCGAACATGAAATATCTATAGATGTCAAACTTTCGTGTTCTTTTATTTAAATAGTGCCACTACTGCAGTGAGAACGATTTTCACCAAGTACCCCAAATAAAATATATATAAATCACGAACATTTGCCCCCTTGTGGTTAAACAGTGCTACTGCTGTAATGATTAAGATCCACACTGAGTGCCCCACATTAATTATCTATTAATGTAAAACTAAGTAATGCTACTGCGGCACTGATTACGATTCTCACTTGGTGCCCTGTACTTGAAGGACGATGTATTAGTATGTGTCAATATAGCCATGAGTAAATTATTAGAACGCAAGTTACTTTTAAAAAAAATCGATCCTCACCGCGTGCCCTAAAAATGACCTTGTGTCAAAGGAAGCTAAATGTGCAAAATAGTGTATGGTGCGTGCTTTCATGTAGAGACACGTGAGTATCGTAGATTTTAAGGCCCATCATACATCGACATGTGTTGTCTAATCTTGCTTTTTCGAAAACTAATTAGACAATATTTAAATCAGATTAAGTTTAAAGATGTATTCATTGTAGTAATTTACATCTACAAGTGTGTGTGTGTGTGTGTGTGTGTGTGTGTGTGTGTGTGTGTGTGTGTGTGTGTGCAATCGTGCTTCTGTGTCTGCGTGTTCGTCTCAGTAATGTCGAATATTTTATGCAGGGTAGAATATCTCAAAGAAGGGCACCTTCAGTGTCTTACTAATAACGTCAGGTGTTCATTGTGAAAGGCAATTCAGTCAGTTACGTACCATACGTGATACACGCTTAGGTGATCATGTAATTTTAGATACATGACTGACGAGGCAGATTTTTTTTCCCGCTGTAGCTTGCTATTTCTTTCTGCGGTAAACCAGTTGCCATCCAAGGCTATAGAACCTGGTCTGTCCTACTAGTTACCCATAGCTGGGGGAGAAGAATAGGATTCATACCTTTCCCAAGGGTATTAATACGTAAGTGAATGTAATGGATTCGACTAGAATTCAAATCCATTACATTCACTTACGGGCTAATACCCTTGAGAAAGACAATTATAAATTCAAAAAGAAGCGAAAAAACAAGGTAACAGTTTTGTGCATAGGATTTCTTGTTGTCGAATATTGGTTAACAAGATATCTGCTAGGTCGGAGCGGGAGAAGATTGTGTAGCAGCAATATCCTAGTGCAGCTTGCCTACAGTGAAAAATCATTGAACGAAAGACTGCATTCTCCAGGATTAAATGCTTACAGTGTGAACAAATACACAATTATGACAAACGTTCGTTATCATCCTTCGATGAAACCCGTAATGAATAAAGTTTTCCAAAAATACGGAGATGCAAGGATTTCTTTTTTTAGTCGAAAGTAGAGGAGAATCGAAATCGAGAAATTGGGGCAACTGGAGAACAAATCGATACCCTTATTTGATTGGGTGGTTGCTGAAGAGGTATAGGCGATCAGGTCGAGATAGATAGATAGATAGATAGATAGATAGATAGATAGATAGATAGATAGATAGAACGACACAATAGCAAGGTAGATGTCGCAAGACAGAAATAGATAGACAAATAGATATTTATGAACAGAATAGCGAAAGACAGCCACGCAGATAGATAGATAGATAGATAGATAGATAGATAGAAAGAAATTAGGACAAATACATACAGAGATAAATTGATTGACAGGTGAGTGCGGATAGACAGACAAATGTGCAAACTAGCTTAACTACAAAAAGAAAAAGTAAACGTCGTGGTAGACATATAAGTATGAGTGCACCTATGGTGTTTACAGGCCCACATAGATCAGAGCGGCGAGGACATTCACCCCGTTAATAGAACGGCATTTCACCTTTACTGTTTTTGCGAAGAACACACTCGCATGGCTTTTCAGTTTGATTCTGAGAGTTCGAATCTTTTGCTCAAATGTTGAGTAGACATGAACGGATATTTGGAGATTTTATTTTAAAGTGTTGAATAAAATATAAAGGTCAGTTTTATCGCAGGCTTTTCCAAAGTTGAGTACTTCATGAATTCATATGTGTGTAACGTATATAATTACATTCTTATCTTTCGTGACATCGAAACGACATGTTGCGCCCTCTAGCTCTCCCTCTCCTCTCTCTCATATATATATATATATATATATATATATATAGAGAGAGAGAGAGAGAGAGAGAGAGATGTGTGTGGGTGTGTGTGTGTGCGTGTGTAATTTTGT